CTTCACTAATACTGAGGTCGAGGCTTCGGGGAGGCCCATCCATGATTTGATGGTGGTCCATTGTGCATTTTTCTATCCAGATAAATTCTTACTGCAGTGAGTTTGGGATCACTGTCATGCTGAAAATGTAAGCGTCTGATATTGCAGGATGTATCAAATCCAGATCTGATGAAACTTTTCTGCGTTCATAATTCCATCAATCTTGACAAGATCTGTCTCTCTGCTCTTGTTTCAGGTTTTTGCTGGATTTTTTTCCTTTTTCTTAAGGACATGACTTTCAGATACTGTTCATATGCTGTAGACAGTTGTTTAGCCCTACCCTTTCTTCTTTTGTCCTCCATTTGTCTCGTTTCAATTTGGCAGAGTTTTTTGGGGGGGAAAATACTATTTTATAGCTGTCGAACTGTGTTTTATTCTGCATTTTTAAATAGATTTAACTAAAGAAACGGGAACAAATGATCTGTTTTTGTGACATGTGGCTAGTAACACAGAGGCTAATGATGCTATTTAGAGTTTGTTCTGTTATCTCTGTGATGTGTAGACACAACGCTGGTTCATCCCTTTAGTTAGGTGCCTTTCTATGTTTCAGTGATTCATAGGTCAGTGTTAAATCTTGTTAAGTAAACAAACAACTAGTTTAACTCACAACCCACAACTTAATGTCTTCTGCAGAGCCTCTTTGGCTCTATAGCAAATCAAAATTAAAGAAATAACGTGCCCTTGTGATTGATAATGTGCTAATGTTGTGCTGGCTCTAGTGATGTGTTTTTAATTATATTTTATTTTTTAATTTTATTTACTCGACTAACTGGTACTCATCTTGAAGAATACAAGGACGGGACGAATTGCGCCGCAGTGCATTCAAAACAATTAAGACTCTCGCTGAGCAACTGCCTGAGAAGAAAACATTACAGACACGTTTAACACTTAAGTGACACATGCTTGCAGCGAACGTCAGCTAGGCTTGGGGAAGATGAGGCGAACACAACAACATCTTGGCCATATGTATTTATTTATTGTGGCTGATGGATTGTGTGTTCAAATGTTCATTTTTTTAAAGACTGATAAGATTCTCTGCCCAGAATGACTGATGATGTCTTAGAAAACAGAAACCTTAGATGGCATCAGGCTCTCTGCTGAAAGTTGAAATATGTCACTCAAACGCCTGGAGTGAGAAATGTTCAGTCTTGATGTCTCAGACGGTCCTGTGTATTACATCACAGTGCTAACAAAGAGAGACCAGACACATCTGTGATTGGGAGAGTGAAGGAGAGCAGAGCTTGCTGAAGATTTCTTTGAAACCTCACTAGAAGCGTGCTCCTTCTGACAGTCACATGGCTCTGCCTGCACGTTCGCTGTTTAAAAGACAATATAAAGAATTTAGTTAAATACATTTGTCTGGCTTCTGACGTGACTGCATGCTCACCCCTCAAGCACCCAGATTTACAGCACTGCCACAACTGTGACATTTGTGGTGGCTGTAGCTCAGGTGGCAGAGCAGGTCAGCCACTAATCAGAAGGTCAGTGGTTCGATCCCAGGCTGCACCCTGGCTGCATGCCAAATATCCTTGGGCAAGATACTAACCCCGTGTTTGCCTACTGGTGGTGGTCAGAGGGCCCGGTGGCGCCTGTGCCCAGCAGCCTCACCTCTGTCAGTGCGCCCCAGGGCAGCTGTGGCTACAATGTAGCTTGCCATCACCAGTGTGTGAATGTGTGTGTGAATGGGTGGATGACTGAATGTAGTGTAAAGCGCTTTGGGGGTCCTATGGACTAGAAAAGCGCTATACAAATGTAGGCCATTTGCTTAATTTTTTCATTGTTTCACATTTTCTATAAAACAAGTACAGTCAAACACTGAGATGCTGTGGTCTAGCTGCAGAGTGACACACGCTTAATGAAGTGCTTTGGTGTTTTAACCCTCGCTCACGGCGGCTCATATGCTCAACAGAATGGAGAACAGAGAAAATCTCACTGAAGCATTCACAACAGCGCTGCATTGTGTGTGTCCCTGCTCCTATCGCTTTGCTGGGAGCAAAAGCTCAGATTTGTTGTTTGGCTTAATAAAAGACAATCATCTTGTTTGGGAGACTGGGATAAATACACAACTTGAGCTCTATTATATCGCGATGATGCAGTCATGTAAATATTTCAGTATAAAAAACATAACAGACATCTCTGCATGTTTTCACTTTACAATCTCATCTAGGCTGACAATGCAGAACTGGGCAGAATATGAGCTATCTCTCTCTCTCTCTTTCTTTTTTTAAAGAAACTGTTAAATGTCTCGGTTTAAACATCAGATAGCTTTTGTGTGGTATAGTGAATAAAATCTGGATTTATGGGATTTCCAAATCAATGCATTATGTTTTTATTTACATTTTACACAGTGGTTTGTATATAAGTCATTGAGTCAGGGACCTATCCTACATAGGAGGCCTGGCTGGATGGTGTAGGTACTAGAATGAAGAGGATACAGTCGTGAAACTTTACAAGCAACCAGTTCAGGTCAGAATAACAGTTTAAAGATGTGGTTTGAGCCTTAATTACTCAATTCCGTCACGAGACTGTCTCAGTTTCCCTCTTCCCTGCTGTCAGTTAGCTGCTGTCCATGAAGGTGACTTAAACCCAGTGCTAAACACAGTCCATAAGACAGATATATCACATCTTGTTGAAGTGATGCGTTGCATACAATTGTGCTTTGCTAGTGTTTAATGTGTTGTGTTATCCTATCGGGACAACACGTCTTTTAAAAAAAGCATTATTTTCAAAAGATGTTGCCTTCTTTTAAGCCTCTGCACGGCTCTTGATTCACTGCTGTGGGCCTCAGGAGATCCCCTCATACCAGCGGATGAGCAGTTCAACCTATCAAGGCAGTCACTAATAACTCCTAGCATGGATCACAGAGGACGGAGGACCAGCAGCTTAACAGCAAGAGAGTCATTTATTCACTAATAAGATCTGATTTCGGTTCGCCAGCGCACATGCTCTCAGGCATGTTTTCTCCAAGTGAGACTCTCCTCCTATTAAAGCCTGACACCAAACAACATCCTAACATGAACCATGTGCCTGCTTAAAGACAATATCTGCACCTACTGAATGTAGTCTCTTTCCACTTGCTAAATGCAAGTCATTAAGCAGTGCATCTTTAAAGTGCTTTAAGTTGAATAAAAACACACATCAGTGTGAAGTGTGCCGTTTGGTCGATATCAGTGTTTCTGAGGCTGCTCCTTCTCCTCTCTACATTTAACCTGCCTAAACACACATTCAGATGCATATTATCCAAACTGTGTTAATTCTATATGAGGCAGAAATTCGATATAAAGACGGATTGATTTGGACAACTGCTTCCTGCTGCACGCATTTAACAGATTCTTAAAAGCAAATGAAAGAAACTCGGAGAAAAGCCTCTCCAAAGAATTCAAGTCATCAGCCCACTTTGGATTTTCATGATTAGGTCACACTTGAGAAATAGCACTCAAGACTTTATGAAATAGCATGTTAATTAAAAAAAGCAGCAGGGTAACTCAAGAGCTGCTACATCCCAGATTGATGCAGAGCTACATGATGCTAAATTTGTGATGTTTTCATCTTTTTTTTTCTTCACGTGATGCTGCTCATGAAGAGTCTGTCAGAGGTGTGTAGTCTAAAGCCCTGCAGAGAGTGGTACCCAAATATGAGCTTATGAGAGACGTATGTAGATCTCCGAGTGACTGTGCACGTGTGCAGGTGTGTGAGAGTAGCTGTTCTCCTCTTTTATTTGTGAAATGAAGAGGATCAGAGCTAAAAGTGAAAGGAACTAATGGCAGGATGTCACTGCCGACTTCCTGTGTGAATGTGAGTCTTTGTGCTGAGAAGCTTTTGGACTATAATAAGATGAATGCTTCAGTATGTGGAAAGCTGATAAAAGCATCAATCCTTGACATCTCCTGGCAACCTTTCCAAACTCTGCAGATTCAATCTCTAACATTTAGCCCACTGATGCCCTGAAGGTGCATCAAAGGAACACTAGATTTATTACAGAATCAAGGATCTTTATGTGATCTACACTGGAGGTTCTTTAACAAGTAAAATAAATAAATAATTAATGGTTATTTAATTAGAAATAACATTACACACAGAATAAATGTTTCAGGTCTTACATTGGATTAACGAAGTAAGGAAACATTAGTGATATTGATGCAGAACTGCAATGCTTTGTTCACCCACAGGGACTTTATTAGCTACACGTGTCCAACATCTCCTTAATGCAAACATCTAATCAGCCAATTACTTGGCAGCAACAAGGGGAAGATGACCTCAAGTTGAAACCAAACATGATTAGAATGAGGGAGAAAAGTGATTTAAGTGACTTCCCGCACAAATATAAGCTTTACAGAGAATGGTCTGAAAAACAAAAACAAAAAATCTATCCTATGAGCGGCAGTTCTCGGGGAAAAAATACCTTGATGAAGTCAGAGGAGAAAGGCCAGACTGCTACAAGGTGATAGAAAGGCAACAGTAACTCGTAGCGACATGAAAACATAGATCCATCCTGCCTTGTATCATCAATTCAGGCTGCTGGTGGTGTTGTAATGGTGTGGGGAACATTTTATATCGCGTATCCATCTGCTGAAGACTGCTTGAGTTCACTGTACTTGAATGGCCTCCACAGTCACCAGATCTCAATCCAGTAAAGCAACATTGGGATGCATTGGAAACGCAGATTCTCATCATGAATGTACAATTTATAAATCTGCAGTAACTGTGTGATGCTGTCATGTCAACATGGACTAAAATCTCTTAGCAATGTTTCCAGCATTGTGTTGCACGAGTATTCAACAATAAACAGCTCAGTGAGTGGGCCTCTATTTGCCTTTTCTGTAGCACAAACACACACACGCACACAGACAAATGTTCTTTTTACAGTTAAAGAAAAGCAGCAAGGGTTTACTATCAAAAAGCTGTAACCAGGATCTTATTAATACACAGTAAATGAAATGAAGTAAATGTGTCTTGTATTTTCCTTAAAAAAGAAATCAGCTTTATTTTTCAGACAGGAAATGCAACAAAATACAGGATACAGTATGATGTGTTACCAAATGTCCAAACAGTTACAACAAATTTGTGTGCACTGGGTAGAACGAACAGTAGTCGCACATGTTAAACTCACCAGGCGTACAGGTCCTGTCTGACAAAGGTCTAATCTACTTATTGCTTTAATGAAAACATTAAAAAGACTATTTTATGTCCTTAAACATCCTGCACTGCCATTTCCTTTATGTACATGCACAGTCATAAACATCACATATAACATCTTAGAGTCATACAAATGACCAGATGAAAAGACTTTAAAGGACTGTCAAAAACTAGCTTTAAAAAAAATAGTCTTTCATTTGTCATGATCTACCAAAAACATCACAACATTCCCCAATGCCAAGGGCACAGGAGCTTCCATAAAAGAGGACAAACCTCACCTCTCCCCTCTATCACGCACGTCTCACACTCCCTCGGCTCAGCATAGGAAGTCACATTCATCAACACCCTTCCCCTGATTTAGGCACCCTGGCCCCACCTTGAAGCGCCCCCTTCACTCTCTGTCAGTGCAGGACATCAGCTCTCCTGCTTGTCTTTGACCAAAAGGACGGTGTGCTGCCCTCCACTGGAGGCCATCAGTACTTCACGGTTCTCCAGCTGTTTGCCTGTCATCTTCACAGGACTCCACTCATCATCTTCCTCTCCAGTGCCAAGCTGCAGGTTGGTGCCCATGCCCCAGGCATACACAGATCCTGGAGTAGGAAAAAGTGACAGTAAGGAGAGCGAGCAACCTTTTATTCTCTAAGGGTGTCGACTGTGTGAAAACCCAGGAGTGAAAGTTTAGTACTTGTTGCACTGTGAGTGATGGCTCTGATAAGAATCCTGCTTCACAATTTTGTGTCAGACAGTCAGTCACACATTTTCTGAAGACTTTTTTCCATATCTAAAAACTTTCTAACCATTAACGAATAAGTTTGGACACATTATTGAATTTTTTTTTCATTATTTTATATAGATACAAACTGAAGACATCAAATATATGAGGCAAGATATATAGAATTATTTTGCAAAGAAAAAATTGATAAATTATTCTAAATATGTTTTATATTTCAGATTCCTCAAAGTAGCCACTTTTTGCTTTGTTAACAGTGTTGCAAACTCTTGGCCTTCTCTCAATGAGCTTCATGATGTAGTCACCTGAAATGGTTTTTACTTCACAGTTGTGCCTTGTTAGGGTTCATTTCTGAAATTTCTTGCTTTCTTAACAGAGTTGGGACCATCACTTGTGCTGTGCAGAAGTCAGGTTGGTACACAGCTGACAGCCCTATTTGGCAACTGTTAGAATTCATGTTATGGCAAGAACCAACCAATCAGCTAAATAAAGAGAAACGACAGTCCATCATTACTTTAAGAACTAAAGGTCAGTCAGTCCAGAAAATTGCAAAAACTCTAAATGTGTCCCCAAAGTCCAGTCGCAAAAACCATCAAGAACTATAACAAAACTGGTTCATATAAGGTCCGCCCCAGGAAAGGAAGACCAAGAGTCACCTCTGCTGCTGAGGATAAATTCATCCGAGTCACCAGCCTCAGAAACCGCAAGTTAACAGCGCCTCAGATTAGAGCCCAGATAAATGCCACACAGAGTTCCAGTAGCAGACACATCTCTACATCAACTGTTCAGAGGAGACGAATCAGGCCTTTATGGTCAAATAGCTGCTAAGAAACCACGACTAAGCAAAAAACATCAAGAAACACAAGGAATGGACATTAGACCAGTGGAAATCTGTGCTTTGGGTCTGATGAGTCCAAATTGAGATCTTTGCTTCCACCCGCTGTGTCTTTGTGTGATGCAGAAAAGGTGAACGGATGGTGTCTACATGTAGGGTTCCCAACGATGGTGTGATGGTGTGGGGGTGCTTTGCTGGTGACACTGTTTGGAATTTATTCAAAACTGAACCAGCATGGCTACCACAGCACCCTGCAGCCACATGCCATCCCATCCAGTTTGCGATTAGTTGGACCCAAATTATTCTTCAACAGGACAATGACCGAAAACACACCTCCAGGCTGTGTAAGGGTTATTTGACCAAGAAGGAGAGTGATGGAGTGCTGCATCAGATGGCCTGGCCTCCACAGTCACCTGACCTAAACCCAACCAAGATGGTTTGGGATGAGATGGATGGCAGGGTGAAGGCAAAAGTGCCAACAAGCGCTCAGCATCTCTATGAACTCCTTCAATACTGTTGAAGGAGACTGTTCAAAGTGACTACCTCATGAAGCTCATAGAGAGAACGCCAAGAGTGTCCAAAGCAGTAATCAAAGCAAAGGGTGGCTATTTTAAAGAATCTCAAATATAAAACATGTTGAGTTACTTCACACTTTTTTGTTTCCTACATAATTCCATGTGTTCATTCATAGTTTTCATGCCTTCAGTGAGAATCTTTAATATAAATAGTCATGAAAATAAAGAAAAACCATTAAAGAAGGTGTGTGCAGATGTGACTGGTAGTGTAAGTATCCCTACAAAACAAGGTTAACTGTGATCTCCTGCTAATAAACCTCACATTACTTTCTCTTCATGCCTAAAGTTGGATTAAACTTGCTGCTATCTCACTGTCACCAGCAGCAATGTCTAAACAAACAGGAAATGAGGGGTCATGTGTTTGTAAGATAAATTTAAAGCTAGGACGATTTAGGGCAAAGTATAGTGTCTCATTGCACTTCAATGCTTCAGAAGAAAATAATAACAAAAAAAAAGGGCTGCAAACAGACTCAGTTGTTTTACTCTTCCCATCCTGATTGCCTTGGTTCTCACCTTCTCTGGTAACTGCATAGCTGACAGACGCCCCGCACGACACTCCTTTAGCCAGCTCTATCCCCATCACAGGTGTGGGCTCGCTCTTCTCTTCAGCCCCTTCTCCCAGACCAAGACGACCATACTCTGCTCTTCCCAGGCTATATACCTGCCCTGAAAGACAAGAGTCCAACACTCCAGCTGACTTGAGTGCTAACAGATGATGCGTAACATCTGCCTGCAATTACACACAGCCAGCTTACCTTCAGCATCAAGGCAAAGTGTGTGATGCTGTCCTCCAGAGAAGTCTACCCAGGCAGTGGTCGAGTTCTTGAAACATGTAAGCTTTACAGGGACAAAACACATCTTGGTGCTTTTGGTGCCTAAAAAGATTCATTTGAAATGATACAGTCACTGTCACAGTCACAAATAGTACACGGCAGTAGAGTTTACAAAGGATAACGCAGGAGTGACGAGTCACACTGACCCAGCTGGTGATAGTTTGAGAGGCCAAATCCATACACATGGCCCTCTTTTGACACAGCAAAGGTGACGTACGCTCCACAGAAGGCGTCAACGAAGTGAACTTTCCCTTTCACTTTTACCATCTGTGGAACCAGCAGCCGCTCTGAGATCACAAAAATAAACAGGAGTGATGTATAGAACATTAAAGACAGTATAAAAAAGAAACATTTATGTAATCAGATATTAACATAAATCTACAGTTTTTGATCCACCAAAAAACAGAAAAGGTGTGTGCTACGTACTAAGGCCTTTCCTGCCTCCTCTGTTTGAAAAGTGTTCAGGCACTCTTCCCAGCTGCCCCTGCTCAGCTGAGCCAGACGTGTATAGATTTCCTTCCAGCGTCACCATTACCACGTGATCATTACCTAGTAAAGAAATCAGTTACACAAATATCCCAGTTAGAAACTCATTTATAATGCACACATAGTAACATAAAGCACTAAACAAAAACCTTTTCTTTTTTACCTGAAACTATTTTAACAACGCGTTCTGTTAAAGGGACTTTAACTGGTAGAGCACACGTTTTCATCGGCTCCAGAAGACCAATAACTCCATTATTATCCTAAGAAAACAGGGTAATATGCAGACAACATGTTAGACAGTCAAAACATTAAATACATTTCAATGTCTTTTCCCTACATTGTGTAGAATTACAAGAAGATTATGATTTTATTCATTAAAATTAAATGCTTTCTGATTCCACTGCATACATACTACAATATACTAAAATAGTTTTTATACATTTATTTTACAGCGTTAATAAATGTTTAGGAACAACATTTAGGGTTTGGATAATAATATAGTGCTGAAGGAAAAATGATATGAAACCTTTGAACAAAAACAATTACATAGAAAGTAATGGAAGGGTGATAAAAATAGTTGCTGAGACAGCACACAGGACCAGACTGCTCCCTAACTAGCAGTTCACTAACCCTGAAAGAGCCCCAGATGTACACCGATCCATCCTCTGTGACTGCGGCTGTGTGGCTGTCCCCTGCCGATACCTGGACCACCTTCTCATTCAGCGTCACCTTTCCCGGGATCATCTCAGACCCCTCCTCTGATGTGTCCCGACCAAGAGCCCCTTCGTCATTACAGCCAAACGTGTAAATCTAAACAAAGAAAACAGTTTACATGAGAAACTAAGAAGCTCTTTGTTAAACGCTACAAACAGGTTGCCATTACATTTGTTTGAAGTGAGAAATAAGACAGATGTTTGCTTACATTTCCAGTTTCGCCGAGGCACACGGTGTGCATGCCTCCAGCTGTCACCTGAACAATTTTCTCTGGCAGGGACAGAAGTGCTGGCTTCTTCCTTTCAATGACATCTTCCCCTAAACCCAACTGTCCAACATCACCTTGGCCCAAAACAAGAACCTGCCCCGCCTCTTTGAAATGACTCCTGTGTGAAACTGAAACACATATACAACCAGTTTCATAGTGAGCACTGAATTTTATTGGTTTGATGGAAAACACATGGAAAATGATGAAATTAGTAAAAAGTTAGTAAAAACACTGACAATGCAGTGTGATACACTTGGGAGTCAAAAGCCTTCCTTTCACATATGTGCATAATACTTGCTTAACAGAAATATCTTACTTCAGCAAACTCAAATAGAAGTGGTGTACATGTTTAAATGCAATGCCACTTTTTAGCTGGACTATCAGTTGTTCAAACTGAATCTGGTTACCCCTTTATAAACTCCTGTTTTGAAAAGGGAAGTGACTTACCTTTCACCTTTTTGGAGTCTTTATCATCTTCCACAATAGCAGCAGACTTTCTCTTGGTGGTTGTCTTTTTGGCAGGCATGATAGCAACACTTTTGGACTTTAAGAAAATATAAGGTTGTGTGTAAATTGGGTAAGTTTCTTAACTAAATGGATAATGTGAGTTAAACAGTACAACAAAGTAATTTAAACTACGCTAGAATTCTTACACCACACAAAATAAAAGAAACAAAAAGGCTAAACAGGATAGTTATTAGATACCACAAATGTCTCAAATTTACAAGGCAAGGCAGATAATTAAGTACATGAACAGCCGACATTTAACCTACAAGTCATTTGCATGTCTACCCTGGGGATGAGTAAAGTATACATCCATCTCTCTATATTACTTACCGATACTCATGATGAGTATTTTAATTACTTACCGATACTCATGATGAGTATTTTAATTGCAGACAGAAAAGCAACGTGGACCACAATAACAAAACACTAGTGTAACCTGGAGAAAACCAGGCTACACTAGTATGATCTCTCTAAATACAAAAGCGTTTATAGACCACAATCACCCCGCAAACCAGAGTCCAGACCACAGTGGTCCTGACTCTTAGACAGCACTACAGACTAGCCAGCAGACCAACATAATACACAAAAAGCCTTTTGTTGCTGTTCTAAGACTGCCCAGCAGTTCTTAGGGTTCAACAGCTGTCGGAGCCTAACTTCAATGGTTCTTTCACCCCACAAACAGCTGCGCTTCAGTCACCCCTGCTTCTCATGCTGATAAGAGACCACTGCCCACAAAAATAAGGACACATGGTACAGTTTGAAATGAGAGTCAGTTTTAGCTTTTGGTCCCCACTATAGATCGTACGACAGACGCTGGGATTTCATAAGGAAGTGCTTGGATAGTGCTATCATCTCCTTTACAGCGCTGGACAGTTTAAATTAAGCTGCGTGATCTAACGCTGGCAGTGCCCATGTGCCCTTGCTAACATTCAGTTAACTTGGCTGCTGAACGAGTTGTATGTGGTGTAAAACATTGACTGTAAATAATCGTGTCACAACGAGCAACGAACACAGCGAGAAAGCAAGATAGTAAATATAAGTTGTTACAGCTTAACCAAAGTTAGTTGGCCGGCATTGAAAGTAAAGCTTTTCAGCCAAATGCCGGCTAACTGTTTGCTAGCCAATGCTAGCTGGCTAGCTAGGGTGTTAGCGTGACATTGAATGAATGAAACCGAGAAACATAATTTAACAATGTAACTGCGTGCGATTCAGTGGTGCAGTATTTCTCGATACTTGTTTAATCCATCTGTAAAGTGTAGGAGGTGATAATTAACTGACCTGTGAAATGTTGAAGAGTGCAGTTTGAAGTGAACGTGCACAGCCTGGTTCCCGGTCTCGAGACGTGCAACGTTACGTTCTGTGGAACCTTTGGAACGCCCGCCTCCTTAAAGAGACAGTAACACTCAGAGCCACAGGAAGATGGACACAGACAGATGTTCACATGTATATATGTCTATCTATCTATGATAAAGTGCATCCGGCGAAGCCATGTATCTGCGTAAATTAAGTAATACTTGGTGCTGGAGGAAGTACTCCTATCATCTTTCTCAGAACTGGGACAGGTAGCTCTGGTGAATGAATCGGGCTACAGATCAGTTATAAATGTAAAAGTACTAACGTCTGGTGGAACACTCAGTTTTTATTATAACCAAAGATATGAGAGTATTTTCTACTCCTCCTTCTTCTTATTTTGGCTGTTTCCTTTAGGGGTCGCCACAGCAGATCATCTGGCTCCATCTCACCCTCAGTACCTCAAGTACTTCAAAAAGTGCAGAATTTAGGTAAAGGTACACGTCAATAGCTGTAATAGGGCAGTGTATTATTGTTAACAAACAAAAACACCCAACAACAACAATGTAAAAGTAGTGGTATATTCATCTAAAGTTGAATGCGTAATATAAAACCTTAACCTTATATAGTTAATATTTCTGTTATCTTGTACAGCTCAATAATTAAGCAAGCTGTATGTAATGTAAAGAAAATGCTGACCAGCTGATATTAACACAGAGACTGTTGGGAATCTTTTGATTTTCACCTTAATCCATCTTGTATCACTTTTATGTCTAATTGATATTAAGAGATAAAAATTTATCAGTAACCTACAAACCTTTTTTTAGGTTGTCCCTTATCTGTTGTATATTTTGTAACTAGATTTCCTTTCGTCCAACCCAGACCTTAAAGATCTGTGAACATATTTTACCTTCAGTCGTGTCTTTCTTTCTTTAGCTGACGCTAAAGCTACTAGCAAAACTCTCAATTTTCTCAGTGTGAAGACCTTTACCTACACATTTAATCCCAATAATATGAAAAGTGCAATTTCAACTATACCTCTCGGTTTTTTGTACACGATGAAGACATACTGCTGTAGTAAATGAAAGAAATCTATTAGCACAAACAAATAAACAAGTAAAATTACAGAAAAGGTTCTGGCAGCTAACTGTCCAGACTTTTCAGTAATCACAAAATTGAAAGATGTTGGTAATTCACAGAAGATTAATTTTTCATTGTTCTAATTATTTACTTATTTTTACTGTGGGTCCATTGTAAAAAGAAATGACTATAGTCCATATGAAAAAGCAGGAACTTTTGATTATTTATCTATGGCTTAATTACTCCCATATGGGAGATTTTATCAGTAGGAAAACCTGTAAAATTTCTAAAAATATAGTTAAAAGTTTAAAATCTATTCCCTCCTTCACATATTCCAAAACCACCATCAAGTGGCCCAGATTGGAGTCTTTGCGGGAACAAATCTGGCCCCCGGGGACTCATGTTTGACACCTCCACCCTTTGGTGTTACCTTATCCAATAATCTAAAATATAACCTATTACTTAAAATACATTTTAAATTACACTAAAGGCCCTTAAACCAGCAATTTAAAAAAAAATAAAAAATCAAAAGACAGTGCAAAAACTTAAATCGCCACCAGGTGTTGCTGCAAACCCACTGTTTCTTTAGACGTTCCAGCTTAGACAAAAGACTCAACCTGAACAGTCATTGGGTCTACTGGACCTCAGTTGCAGAGTTGTTTCACAAGAAGGTTCGAGGAATTGCAAGATTTTTAATTAGATCCAGACTATTTACAATTAAAAAGAAGACTGTCAGCTCATACAGCTCCACATTCAATTAAAAATGAACTCAGATTTACAGAAAGGTGCACTTTCATATTCCCATTCTTGTAGCATTTAATCATAAACTCATGTTCTGCTTAAAAAAATAGCAACCTATAATACTTTTATATTTAAAATTTCTTTTCAAATAAAAGGAAGACAAGATATACAGAAGCATCAGATAAACCTATATCAACTTATACACACAGCACTGAGAACCCTGTAAGCTACTGGCCAGACAAGACAAGGTAAAACACTTCTGCAGTTTCAAAAAGTTCCAGCCAAACGGAGTTTCTGTTGACCGATTATGCGTTTTCAGGTGTGGTTTTTTTCTTTTTTTTGTGATAAATCCCTGATCTACACTTGAAGCAACTTACATTTAACTCTTAGTTTAGACACTATCGTAACGACCTTATTTAAAATGGCTACAGAATGTATTGCATGTTCAATCTTTAAAGGGAAGTACAAAAACTTACAAAAGAAAAAAGTATAAATGAAGAGAGATTATCCAGACGCGGTGGCACTGGACTTTGTAATGGCTCATGCAGTGGGTTGCAGAAATCAGTGATATGAAAACCAGTATTGGGTGTGTTGGCACGCATTAAAACACCAACAGCCCCCTGACCTTTTTCTATAGCTATTAAAAGGCCGACTCACATCACAACCACAAATACAGGCAAGCCAAATAATAATAATAATCATAATAATAAAGAAGGCTCAAAGAAAAGCTGTCACTACCCTTGTGATCAAAATTGTAATAGAAAATATTTTGTGCATTACAGAATATTTTGCAATGAGATCTCTTCCAGTTTCACTCTAACGTATCACAGCAGCAGTCTGTAGAGTGGATAACAAACACACGATATCCCAGAGATGTCCAGTTCTAAAACAGAATATTTAAGTCTTCAGCCAACTCCTGACCGTTTGTGTCTATTATTACTGTGTGAAGTGTTATAGGTCATCATTATTGTTACCATTTTTATTCTACGTTATTACATTAGCAAAGATGAGTTAGCTTTTCCATATACAGTAAAGAAGAAGAAGGAGAAAAAAGAAAAAGGCAACACAGGACGAGGCCGCATTAAAGGTTGTAACTATATCCGAGTCCCTGAGGGGCACCACACAACAGCAGAGTGAGAGTAAGCCCTGTAGGTCCTTTGCCACTTCTCCACTTTATTGGCACGTGGTTCCCCCTGCCGTCCGGGAGAAATACTGCATCTGGTCTCCACCCACCAACACCTCGGTTCAGTGAAAGCAATGTAGTGAGAGGGCGATGGAGGACAAGCAAGAAGCATTCTCGTGTGGAGTCGGTTCCAGGCTTTCCCTGATAACAGTACATTCAAGAGGCGCAAAAGGGCGATCTGTCTGCATTGGGAGCAGCTGCTTCTTTGCCGGAGATCTTAAGTGCTTCTTTATCCGGAAGCAGGGATGTTAAGGCCGATGGAACCTAAAGAAACAAACAGCTCTCATGAGGCAAGATCACACCTTTGTAATCCTTAAGCTTTTAATGCAGGGAAATTCATTATATTGCTATTTAAGGTACAGATTTTGCTCTAAAAGTCTTCTTCTGCCCGTTGTTAGTGCTGGATTCTGCCATTCAACCAGGCATGCACAAGAAAGATGACTACATGGATGTTTACTGGTCACAACTCTATTAATGTAGTAGCAGATCACCACTGCTGCTAATTCATATTTAAAGTGTTTAGGTGCAAGCAACACAAGATGGCTTTAAGTGTAAAGCAATCACAGGACACAGTGCATGTGTAGCTAAGGCAGCCGATGTCTACAGACTAAAATAAGTGACATCCTGAAGGTCGTTAACAATTGAAGCAGTATGAAATAAACAGTGTTGACACAGTAGCAAGGTAACAAACTCCTTTGGCTAAAACCTGCTGTTGGGGGGGAGATGTCTTCAGGATGAGCGCCAAGGTTGGCTGCAAATGGCAGGAAGTGTTCAAAGATGCATCACTCTCAAGTGTGCATTACATATTTCATTGTTTCCCTGACACAACCAGGAGAAATAAATAACAACAAAAACAAAACTGTGTGGTGTTTGCATGGCTTCCCTGTGCTCCAGGTACCCCTCTTCCTCCCACAGTCCTAGGTTTTGGGTGGTCATGCATGTTAGCTTAATGGGTGATTCTAAATTGGCCGTAGATGTGAACGCGAGTGTGAGTGGTTCATCTGTCTCTCCTTTAGCTCTGCGATGGACTCACGAGCTGTCCAGAGTGTTATAAACCAGTTTCTCGGTTTATAACAGCTGAGATAGACTCCATACCCCACCAACATGAAGGAGTGGTGTAGAAAAACAAATCAGCAAAACACAGTACCTCACTCATTTGACCAAAGCAATCAATCAGCCAGTCAAGTTTCAACTAAAAGGTCTACCTTGTGTAAATTCTGCTCTCTTCATGAACCTCCATTTCAGTGCTCTTATAATCATTGAGCTCCTTCCGGATGGCCGCCTAGACAAAACAGCAATTTGGTTAAACATGAACTCAGAAAGAAAACGAGACAATATACTGCTAAAAAATTACATTAACCTAAAGGAGTTGCACATGTTTAACATTTAAAATCATATGTTTGTAACACTGTCTTGGACATTTTGTAAAGTGCTCTATCAGAAAGCGGGTGTGCCGATAAAGCCTTTATATGCAGCTGATTACCTTGTCGGCAGGAGTGAGCTTAGTCCACGGCTTGTCTGCTCTTCTATCGTAGTCCTGGGCATCTGTGACTTCCACATACTCGTGGAATCGCAAGATTTTTCTTGCCTGTAGTTCTGCAACCGTGGGTCTTTGACTCAGCTACAATAAAGATGTTTTTTTTATGTCAGTTTAATATCAGGTAAATACATGGTTTAACACTGGGATGTTTGCCGGCGTGCTGCTTCACCTTTCTGGTCAGCCGTCGCTTGATCTCTCGAACTTCGGCTTGTCTGTCAGCCTGATTTTTAGCTGAGGGGAGAACAAAGATGGGAGAAAGAATAGAAGAGCCAAATTTAGACTTTGGCATAAAAGGCTTGGTTTGATGGCAGGTTTAAAAGCAATTTCTAAAATTAGATATGTGCTTGTTGTTGACAGATGTGAAATGTACTTTGTTGACAAATGCTGAGGCAAAAGCATCAGACGAAAGAATGAGGAGGGGTTTTGCTAAAACCCAGAAACAAAGGAGTCCAAACAAGTCAAGGATCATGAACAAAGACAGAGAGAGTTAATACTAACGCTGGAGGATGTTTCTTTGCTCGAGTTCCTCAGCAGTGGGTCTCTGACTTAGTCGCCTGAAATAAAAAAAAAAGAAAAGAAGAAAGAAAAATGGAGTCCTATTTTTACACATTTACTTCACTTGGACATTCAGGTAATAAGCAGGTCAAGGATCTTTTAAAAATTGGTCTAATTTCTTCAGGAAATGCAGTTTCACTGCTGTCATTTTAAACAATACAATGATACCGCTCATCTTTACCTCGTGAGTGCAGTGCCGATTTGTGTGCGAATGGCTTCCCACTGCTCTCTGCTCTGCCAGGTGAGGCCGGTCTGTCCTGGAGGGTGGTCATCTCGGCTGCTTCTCTCCTGCGTAAACCTATCCCTGTCGGGAGCAGAGGGACGGCTGCTCAGCTTCAGAGCCAGGGTGTCCTTTCTCTTCACCCTGCTGGCCAGTGCGCCTGGATAAAAGCCAAGCGGAGAGATGCAGTAAGCTGAGAAGGAGCAGCAACACTGCACAGGTTTACAAAGAGTCCAGAAAAGCCACTAAATGACCTCCGAATCAGTTTGTTATGCTTACTCATCGGGGGCTCATCCTCCTCATCTTCATCTGAGTCTTCATCTTTATGAGGCACAGGACCATCTGAATCACTGTCCTCCCCGTGCATGTCGTGTTCGCCTTCCTCATCCTCCTCATCTTCTTCCTCGTCGTCGTCATTGCCGTTTCCCCGTGGGATCACACAAATGCCAGCGTCACCGACCAAGCACCGGCGACTCCTTGGCTCCAGCTCTGGCTGTGGAATCTCCCCATCATACTCCTCCTCTTCCTCATCATCTTCTTCCTCTTCTTCTTCCTCTGAGTAGTCATCCTCAGATCTAACAGGAAAAAAATACATGCATATAAAACATTTTTTCTGGTTTTTTTGGGCTAATCCTGAAGACGTGTTTTTCAATGAATTTAACTGAAATATGTCCCTCCAGCTATATCTGACTTTACAATGATGAAGACTGGACTTTTTTTCAGCTTGAAATCGATATACAAGTAAGTCCAAAGTGTACACAGCTTAGAAAATGGATGAAAAAGATCCGAAAGCTACATGCAAAGACAGATCACGTGCAGACTCCATACTTCTTCACCATGTACTGTCTTTGTATACACTGATTCACAGACTTTTCTGTGCAGAAAAACTTACAGTTTTAGTGGTTGAATGCTGACAGGCAGAGGGCGACCTCCTCCTTGGTACTCTAGAGGTGTTTCGAAAAGCAGTGTGTGTGCCCGCTGCGACCCATCTGGATGTGGCTGAGCCGGGCCGGGACTGGACAGGGCTCGCTGGATCATGATGTGCAGCGGTACGGGAGCCGGGCGCTGGGGAGACTCATTGGTCGGGCTCGGTGGGTCGAAAAGCATTGGTATGGGTTGGGGGAGCGGATGGGGGTAGGAGTGCTGATGGTGGAGGTGGTGGGTCTGTATGTGTTGGCGGGGTGGAGAAGGTGGTATGTGAGTCGGCAGGGGAGGGGACGGAGGAGGGGGAGGCAGCTGGAAGCCCAAGGGGAGGCTGCTGTGTTCCTCCAGAGAAAGTGGTGAGGGGATGATGGGATGGCTTGAAGCAGAGTCCTCTGTGTTGCGTTTGGTGACTGGGGTGGTCCTCTTAGGAGGCATCGGAGGAGAGGGTTTGGCCGGAACAAGGCTAGCACCCCCTGTTGCTTGGGTGAAGTCACCTGCAAAACGAAAAAGAGCTAATCCAACCATAACTGCTAAAGAAAAACAGCTACAGCTTAGGCGTGTGAGTGATTTGCTAGCAAGTGCTTTACTTTTGAATCTAGTTTGTCACTGTGACGCAAGTGCACAAGCATCAGTCACACATGTATAACATACCCGGTATGACAGAAGACGCACGAATGCTGGGATTACATGTCTGACTGAGCATTACTGCATCCGTACAGCAAGTTGGTTCACATGACAGCCATGAACGCACACTTTGCTCTAAAAGACCAGTGTGCAGCGAGTGCTCCAGGTCACAGAGACAAAAAAGATGCATCCATGCTCTTCACAGCCAGACTAACCCCGCACCGACACTTTTTCTATTAGCGTAGTAAAGCTCCTGAAGCTCCTAAACAAAAAGCTCAAATGCAAACCTTCCAGTTTTGCATGCACATTTGCATATTTGCTATTTGGCTCTTAAGACTTCAGAGGACAGCTTTAAGGCAACATTTCTATTAAAAGCAGACATAATAAGTGAACAGTGCTGACAGACTTACAACATGCAGTAACCTACACTGTAATGGACTTCCTCTCTATAATAAGTCGAGCCCTTGTGTTAGAAACATTTTGCCTTTTTATTCTTCGACCCATTCAGTCATCCATTCAAGTCCACCCATCCATCCCATTTGAGTGAGAGCTGAGTGGATTAGAGACATAAAATTCATTTGATGCATAGCAGAACACAGCTGGAACCCGCTAAAGGCCCTCCCTTATTCAGAGGCAAAATACACTCAACTGCACTCACACAGAAGTTGTCTCCTGCATACAGTAAGCACACTCATTATCAGCTTGTTATATGCATGCGGCTCTTATATACCAGGTCCAAAGAAAAGCAATGAAGGCCGGTGAACAAGTTAAAGGCTTTTCAGAAGACATATGTTGGCAGCAGGAAAGGATGCGACATGATGAAGTGTGCAGACTCTGAAGAGGGCATTCCAGAAATTGGCACCCCAGCCAAAGAAATACCAGGGGGGCATCCTTTTACCTGAGCGCAGGCCTCCAGCCCGCCGGCACAGGTAGACAGGCAGGGACAGGTAGACATCATAGTCGCACTCTCGCTTCCAGCAGGACCAGTAGAGTGGAAGCTGAGCGTTTTCTCCCCCCTGCAGGGCGGAGACTAACAGGGACGAGATGGAGGCCTTCAGCTTGTATGTTTAATGAATGCAGCTACTTTCTGGTGTCGTGTTATTGATTTCATAAGTTACGGCTGTGGTCAGAAGTTTACATCCACCCATCGTGGCCATGAATCTCATAGCAATTCTGGGCATTTAATGATTTATTTGAACTGTTTCAACTTTTCTTTTCCCAGGGTGAAATGATTGTGCAGCAAACATCTTTAATGAGTTAAAAAAAGAATTTGGTGCACACAATTTAAATTATTTTGGGTTTCCTCTAATCCACAAAGAGTCACGGATCTGACTTTTAAGTGTAGTCTACAGATTTTCCTGGCTGAGGTCGGGTCTTTGGAAAGGCCATTCGAGAAGCTTAATGTTATCCTGCTTTATCCCAAAACCAGTTTTGTTGTGTGTTGGGATCATTGTCTTGTTGGAATTTCAACCATCTAGCTGCTGATTTGAGGTTGAAGAAGTTGAAGAATTTAGAGGTAGTCATTCTTCTTCATTATTCCATCCACTTTATGCGATGTACCAGTACCCCTGACAGCAAAACAGCCCCAGAGCATGATGCTACCAACACCATGCTCGACAGTACCATGTTCCTAGGTCTTGTCTGACTACAAAACTTTTGTCTAGAAGGAATTTGGTTTGTCCATGTGGGCAGCTGAAAATTTCAGTCGAGCTTCAAGGTGTCGGTTTTTTCTTTGTCGATATCCTCTCAGTCCAGTAAAACCAGTTTACCGTCATTCATATCATATTCGGTCACCTTTCTCACTCAACTTGTGTTAATAGACCTCTGAGTCATACCTTTTATTAATCTCTGTCTCTCTTCCACAGCATGTCTTTATCCTGTCTTCCTTCTCTCACCCCAACCGGTCACAGCAGATGGCCCCGCCCCTCCCTGAGCTGGAGGTTTCTTCCTATTAAAAGGGAGTTTTTCCTTCCCACTGTCGCCAAAGTGCTTGCTCATAGGGGGGGTCACATGATTGTTGGGGTTTTTTCTCTGTATGTATTATTGTAGGGTCTACCTTACAATACAAAGAGCCTTGAGGCAACTGTTGTTGCGATTTGGCACTATATAAATAAAACTGAATTGAATTGAATTTCATATTGACAGTTTCGGTCTTTTTCCAAAACTTGGCAAAGTAGTTACATATCCATATAACATGATCTTATGTAAGTAAAGTGTCTGGTTGAGGTGTAACTTGCTGAGGAACATTTATCCCAACATTAGTGGGGGTGAGTGTATATATTTGAGCCTGTATGTATACTTCTGATCGAGTGGATCGAGAAAACCCAGAATAAAATCAAACTTGTGCCCCAAATTCGTGTTTTTAAAGTCATTACACACGTACGCTCTACGATCATTCCACCCTGGATGATCATGACGATGCCAGTGATGAGCGGATGCAATCTTTTGAACACAACTGTATATAAACAGAGTTGCACTATGAGGGAATGGTACTGTTTCCCGAAGTGATAATCACTAAAACAAACACATAGGTAAGAACATGATTACTATCCTTGTAACTGTAACAGGATCCGCTTCACGGTGTGTTTTATTAACACCTTTTGTCTCAGTTGTTCTTTGTCCATAAACTTGGCCACAAAGCAAAGAAGCCTCCTGGCTTTTAAAATACAGTCACTTCATAGTAAACTGTCAACAAGTGTACTGAGAAATTAGATTTCGAGGAGTTCTCTGTAGTGTAAATGTTAAGCTGAAACTAGTTTAAGTTCCTAACTGACTCATTTTGTATTCTATTTGTGTCAAGAACAACAATTAGTAAAATAAACTGATGACAAATGGGGCATTTTTGTAATCCACCCCTCCCCCCCTACTGGGAATTAAAACACGATCCCAGATGAGGCAAAACCACAGAACCGCTACACTGTATCTGTGGAAGCAGTGGCCCACAGCCACAGGAGTCCTTGTTATCCTCATAGCGTAAAATGCTGGAATACGTTTCTGCTACAATAATCCAGGCTTAATAAGTAATTAACTGGGGAAAAGCAGCTCATGCTGTTAAGATAGTATCGTATACAGGATGTTGTGCTGAAGAGTTTACCATCAGTAGTGCACTGACGCATAAATGTACATACTGTATACGCCAGCTGGAAAACTACACGCTAACTGAGCAGGGGTTGGATTGTTGATGTATGCTTCCTGTCCCTGCAACATCTGTTAACCTAAGAAGCTACTGTTAGTAAAAGCTTACCCAGCATGGCCGCGTTGCCCCTGTTCACAGGCTTGGGTGGAGGCAGAGGGGGCTGCTTGGCGGGCTGAGAAGTGGGGGTAAGGGCAGCGGCCGAAGACTGCTGAGTGTTGGAACACGCAGAAGACACCGATCGAACAGGTTTGGACGTCACACCCGACGGAGAAGAGAACTGGCTCGTGGGGTGGTTGGATGGAGTTCGAGGTGGACACTCGCTGCCAGGTTCAGGGGTGGAGCTCACCAGCCATTTTGGAGGCATGATCACCTGTTTGGGTGGCAGAGGTTCACGTAGGGTGTCCAGGTCAGGAGCAAAATGGCTGTCTGATTCTAAAAAAAAAAGGAAAAAGCAGCTAACCATATAGTTTTATATCATAACATGTAATTCTGCTTATATAATTTTAAAAGTTACAGCACGTCAACTGAGACTGATAAACTTAAGCAATACATGATTGGTTTTCAGCTGCAGTGCATATACTGTATTCTATTTATGCATGATCATAAGAAATACACTTCAGTGAATTAGCAAAATCTCACCAAATATCCCAGTGGATTGCTATAAATGTTTCAGCTCAGAGACTCAGCGATGAGCCACTTTTCTACAGCTCTAAGCACTCCAAGCACTCTCTGTGATAGCACTTGTTTGAGAATGGCATTATCTAGGGATCAGCTGTGAAGATAAACAGAGTAGGCGGCTGCAATTACCACCAAAAAAAACCCACCTCCCTCTGCCCACCCCACTATACCCGCGAGCCGGCCCCCACGCTGTTCCCACCGCTGCGCCCACGCCATTCCTGCCGCTCTCAGGTTCGGGGCTATTTATTTACAGAAGTGTTATCAGTGTGATGCCATGTAAATCAAAGAGGAACTAATCCAGGGGAAAGCAGGAAGTCAGACTGAAGAACAGAGAGAGAGGAAGCAGGAGATGTGATAAAGATAGAAATGCGAGTGGGAGAGGTAAAAAAAAAGTAGCATCATAAAAAAGAAAAAAACAAGGTAAGATGAAAAGAAGAGCAGAGCAATGACACATGAAGGAAAGTGGACAAAATTTTCTTTCTTCTTTGCTGCAATGACGTGCTATAGTGTTTGCATACTTTTCAACTCCTAGCATGTTTACACATTGGCACAGAATAACCTGTCACGTGAGCGATAACCACACAGCTGAGATCTAAAAACAGAGCTAAACACCATTATTTTTGAACAAATTCTATTTTTCTGGGAAATCAATTAGCTGTGGCACTTTACCAATTATCACTGAGCTCACTGTGCTAGCCTTAAAGGGCAATAATGAGTATAGCGATCGCGCCACATTAATTAGGAGAGGAGAAGAGAGGACGAGCTATTCCCTCATGTTCCTGAATAAGAAGCATAGCTGGAGCAGGCCTCCCGGGAGCTGACAGGAGCCCGTCTATATCTGGGAGGACAGCATATAAGCAGAAAAGTGACAGCAAAAGGGAGGGGATAAGGTACCCAAGAATCACAGACTTTTCGAATATGAAGGAGGTTAAGGTGTAAAAGGTGTGCACTTCATCGGTTATGGCCTTACACTGACAACAGCAGTGCTGCTATGATTGCAACTTGGAAAAATTGGTGGAAAAATTCAGATTGCAGGGAGGACAACTACTGGAAGTGATTCACCTCTCCGGGCCCTCCCCTCCTCAGCAGATGCATGCCGAGGGAGTGTAGGCTTCCAGTCTCCTTCTGCAGGCCGACTCCTCCTGCCGTCCTCGGATGGGGCCTTCTGCAGTCCTGGCCTCTTTTGCCCGTCGTCAGGGTGAAGCCTGCCACCATGTCTGCTCTCTTCCATTTGTCCGTGAATGTGGCCCTGCCAGGCCATATTAGACTTCCACTCGCCCTCCCCTTGCGCCCGTGCCCCAATCCCTGCGCTTCTCCGTCCATCGTCATGCAGTCCTGTTCCCCTGGAGCCCAAAGCTCCACGGCGGTCTCCATCTGAGGGAGAACAACGGCCCCTTCGGTCATCTGGCTGGGCGAGCCATGCAGGGTTCATCCTAAAATCTGAATCTGAGGGGAGTTGGCCCTGGTTGCATGGGCTCCTGACACCGCTGATGACTCCTCCTCCTCCAACAGGCAGAGTATGGCCATTCTTTACATACGACTGCTTCACATTTTGTGCTTCTCCATCTAAAAAGATTGGTCAAAAACACTTGGTGAATACTCAAACAAATACATTAGAAGACTGAATGATATTCTGAGCTATTGAGAAAGTGCAGAAGGACATTACATGCTAAATTGATACATTTTTAAAGTTTTACATACTGGTAGTGCTGTGTTCAATATTCTACAATTAACCTGATGCATGGCAAGATAACTGATAACTATCCAACTGAGCCATAACACTGTTAAACATGCTTTTTGCTGCTTATTTCTTCTTTAAATCTGGATTTCAGATACAGTGAGGGGAGATTTTAAAGGCTACAAAATCAATACAGAAACTGTTCAAAAATAATTGTAATTTGCAGTTTTCTTTCCCACAGTAATAAAATGTGCCCTTAACTCAAGTCCCATGGACAGTCAGTGTTTGCCGTGATGAAGAAGCTGCTGTAGATTTAATAAATGGGCTCCTGCAACAGCGGGACCAGCAGAACGTTTGCACACCCCCCCCCTTTCTAAGCTATTTTGCTGCAAGGCACAATTTGTTCCACTTTTCCTCAGCTCTGGAGAGTGGCAAGTAATTTTAAACAGACATTGCATTACTTTGAGAAACAGCAAGGTGAAAGCAGTTTTTTCTCAAATTTGTTTTTCTAAATTTGTCTCAGGCACCTGCTGCATGGGAAGACAGCGTTCCTGCTATCATGTGCTGAAGACTTAACTGTACCGTCTGAGTGGGCGTTATTGCCTCGAGGCTGCTGCTGTCAGACGCAGACAAAGCTTTGCAAAGATATCACATTTTGAATCACACAAGTCCCCTCACCACTGTCCGGGACCTCCTTCAGCACCCCCTGTTCTATAAGCTCCTGTCGGGTGCGCCTTGTCGACATCTGCCTCTCTAGTTCTGTCAAGAGCAAAAGGAAATGACATTTTATAGACCATTTTTTCACCAAGATATTTATGATTTAAAATTTTCACTGTGATCTCATGCACCAGAAGCAATATATATAGATATATATATGTTGTGCTAATTCGAGTCACTGAACTGGACCTCTTCACCATGCTTTCTGGTTGTAAGTTTCCCATATTATTCAGTAACACTTAGAACCAGTTAGCAAGTATCTTTATATATAACATACTGTATATAACATGTGGGTGTGGCTTCTAGGCCTGAAAAGTGAAGCCAATTCAGAAGTGTCTTAAATCAGTATACTTTTAATGACCAGCAAGGGCAACTCTACTGGTTGCAGAAAGAAGTCAGATTGTACAAAAGTACATAGTACTCTACAAAAGGATAAACACCCTGTAACTGTCAAGTTTCTGCGATACTTTGCCCTCGGTTTTTCGTACAGATGCAGCGATCTCTTATCACGTCCGGCATCAAACCATCGAGGAGACAGCCAAAAGTCTAGAACTTCAGTAACCAGCAGGTGTCACAGTAAAAACATCCATCTTTCATATACAGTCTATGGACAGGACTTTCCTGTCCTGCAGGTTTTAGATGTGTCCTTGATCCAACACAGCTGATTCAAATGGCTAAATGACCTCCTCAACATGTCTTGAAGTTCTCCAGAGGCCTGGGAATGAACTAATCATTTGATTCAGGTGTGTTGACACAGGGTGAGATCTAAAACCTGCAGAACAACGGCACTCGAGGCCGGGAGTTGCCTAAACCTGCATTAGATGATATGTTAGAACTCCACCCTCTAAATGTTCACAGATGGCATGTGCCACACTGCTAAAGAGACGATTAATTAGCCAAAAAGGACGCTTCAAAACGCAAGGGCACCGTGATATACACGTCATCTCTTAACGAGACATCTTGTATTCATCTTATTGTATTATGTGCACTGAAAATAGCGAGAGACAAACTTGCTTGTAACATTTGGGCGGAAACATGTTCACTGAGGAATTTTAATGACATTTGAATACAACTGATACGGCCGCTGGGGTGAAAGGAGAGGTGGCATTCGCAAAGAGAACAAGTTTGCAGCACAAACCTTCAGAAGTTTCTTTGAACTTCTCGCTGCTTTTTTTCTTCCTCCACTTCCACGGCTTGAAGATCTTGCCAAGGGTCGAGAACTTGCCCTTGCGCTTCGGGGGAGGGGTGCTGTCCCCGGTGCTGCCTCCCTCTCCCACCATTGTGCTGTGGTGCTGCTCAGCTTCATCATCTAAAACAGAAAGCACAAATTTAAAACAAATACAATAGAACTTATAACATGAAATTATAGACACCCCACTCAGCAGCGGCGCTTTCTATTTTAACTGAGCTCATCTGCTGCTTTTTAAAGAGGGCCAGGATCATTATGGCGGTTATTATCTTTAGCTGTTAGTTCTCGGGGGCCGAGCGTGCTTTGGCAGGGTGACGCTGAGAGCTCACGGACTCCTCCACGTATCCACAGCTAACAGGAGAAGCCTAACACTGGCTCGGAGCCAGGATTTCTCGCTGTCAAGTACTCACATTCCTTAACCGGATGGAGTCTAGTGCCTTATCAGCCTTTCAGCCCTCACTGCTCCCATAGAGAAGAGGGGCACACACGAATGCAGACATAAGCAGCAGAAAAAGGTTGTCAGTCATTCTGCATACATATATAAAATATATACACATGTACACACCCACACATACAGGTAACAAGAAGCAAAAGCTCTTTAAAAACCACTAATTATCATTAGGTGTCACCAAGGCTTCAAGAACTCAACTAAAAAGCAATCTGCAGACATGGCTACATACTCTGGGTCACATGACTGACAGGCCAACTGACAGCGCGCTGAGCTTGGAGAGGCTTTCAAACAGGCTGCAGCTGCTGTATTCAGCAGACATAATATTTACCAGCAGAGAGAGAACAGAGTCCGATGTAAAACATCCAGTCTCGGGCTCACACAGGATGTCTTGGCGACAGTAATGCCCTGCAGTCTGATTCCCACAACAATATGCTCTCACACAATACTGATGTGGCTTACTTAGCAGTCCAGGGAACACTAAAACAACAAAACGTTATTCCTGGATAGAAACTTTTTCTTTATTTGAGACACACACACACACACACACACTGATACGCATACATCAGTATCAGCTAGCTGCAGTCCAGCACCCCTGGAGCTGGCAGGGTTTCAGTATCTTGCTAAGTGACACTACAGAAAGGCGAATGGTTGCTGACACAAGATTCAAACCCATTTTTTGCAGCTGAAGGACAGGCACATTAACTCCACACTGCTGGCGGTGTAAAATTTGAGTTGAGTGTTTACACAGACCTCAGAAGCCTGACAGACTGTAAACCTCGGATAGGGAAACAGTTTTAATCACAATACTTCAACTTCATACCCTACTGTGAGTTTAAAAATGGCATTTTTGACAAGTAGTTAAAAAGCAGACACTAATCTACCTTGAAGAGGAGTGCTAAGTGTCCAGCTTGCATGGTGGTGGGACTTAAAACAGCACGCCATGAGGACGCAAGGAGCATTCAGCAACCAAAAATCTACTGTCCTGTGTATATGCCAGCATCAAATCACAGATGACGAAAACGCAGGAGACCAAGTTGCAGAGAGTTGACGGAAACTACAGCAGAGAGTCCGGAGTCGAGAGACATGTCCACGCTGTGGAAATCCAGCTTATCTCTGCGAGGTAGAAATCTGAGGACTCAGACCAGCTGCCATAACATCCAGATTAAGCATTGCTTAAGGCAGCTTCTCCGCGATCCAGAACTGAGGTTCTCACACACAGCAGACCGTTCTGTCAGAGACGCCTCTGCCACAGTGGCTCAGATGAAGCCAGTGAAGCAGGATAAGAGCTGGCTGTGCCAGGCCTGCACACTCCAAAGCACTGCAGAGATGACGATGGCAGAGGACTCAGCCCATGCAGCAGGCATCTATTTGAAAGCTACGACTGACCATATCCTCAGCGGTCTTTTCCGTTAGCCAGTGAAGCTCGATTATAAAAGGTGCCAATCCACTAGTACAAAAAAAAAGTCCTCAAAAAAGAAACAAGTACAGAAGACCCAAATCAGCTGTCACGTTCAAGAAAGCTTGTAGATCCACTCCAAATTATTCTTCACAGATACAGAGAAAAACTCTCCAACATGCCATTGTTTCAGCTGTAGTGTGAAGAGGTCTGGCATGTTGTGACACTATAGCTGAGTGTGACTGTGCGTTTTGGAATTGGAGTAGAGGGTAAAAAAAGGGCTACAAAGAGAGAAAAAGTACAGACATAATGTGGCGGGCTGGGATGGGGGGGGCTGGAAACGCAGTCACAGAATCAGGGTGGAGTGCCGTTTCCTCCCAGAGAACAAAGGCAGCCTCTTCCCCTCATATTCAATAACATAGTCCACTGTACAGCTCATGGAAACACTATGCTCGAAGGTACAACAGGGAAACTAATGAATGATGATATATAAAAAAATAGCTCCATTCATAACAGAGCTACATTCTTAATAGTGTTACTCTAATGAGAAAGTCTGCCCAGATAAGCCACAGCAGACAGGAAACACGAGAGTGTGTGACTGTGCTGGTGTCTTCCTATGACATAGCCATATCCAGAAGGCACACCTACTACTCCCCCATACAACTGGCCAGATTTCCCTCTAACCTCATGATTCACTGAGTCATGGCAGGCTGGTCAGGTGAGCATGTGGGTAAAGGAGATTGTTGCTGTAAAGGAGCATGCTATCCCGATCGCTAACACAAAAACCAAAAGTCCAGGCGGATAAATATTAGGAAATACCTCCAACCTCGGTGTAACAGTTACCTTTGTCAGGGCCGATTATGACATTTAATCCACTTACGAGCACTGACTGTTTCCTGCGAAAAAACGTGTTCCCTAACATTTTCAACAATTTAAGATCCAGTAGAAATAAATGTCATTACATGACACTGTAATATGAGTAACGTTTTACTGCTGTACATATCTTTTTACTCACTACTTGCATAAAATGCACGATCATATAACATCGTGCGGCGCTTAGAAACTTGGAATAATTGGTGCGGTACAAAATTATGTAAAACCTCTGAGCCAGACAACATATGCAATCTGATGTTCCTGTGCAGTGTAACATAAGAAAATAAGTGCACAAGTCATGCATGAGTGTGTTAAAAACACTGTAGAGAATTAGCCACATGATCCCAGTGATTTAGCATTCCTTGTGGTGGTAAACATGAATGAGGGGCAGAATTAGGAGGGAGGCTACGCAACATTTGTGCAAAGTTTATTACACAATCACCAATCCTCAGCTCTGCTCTATCCTTGAAAACTAGTAAACGAGAAAATAGTTTCATGTTGTTGATGTTAGCGATGGAGGAAACCACAGCTGTGTAAAGTACACCAAGAATGTAAGCCCAGAAACTCACCACTGCGGCTGTGTTGTTGTTGTTGTGGGTCCTGAGCTGAGATCTCCACACGGAGGCTCTGTCCCATGATCCAGCCCCCGAGGGGCCCCTACCTGTCCTGCACCTTTAAGTGTGCGCCTTACACGATACAGATCAACTCCTTCACCTGCCGTGCTTCTTCTGCGACAAAGTCCCCGTATGCCCTAAGATCTTTTATGCTTCTCTGTGTCTGTCATCTAGCCGCCTTCTGTGCCTTTTCTTCAATCCTTCCCCCATCCCTCCTTCGCACAATATCCTCAGACCTCCCCTCCCTCCCTCCTGGAGTTGGACTCCCCCTTCCTTGCTGACCCTCCCTCCTTGGCTCATAGCACAGGTCAGCATTCACTGAAAGATGCCTACCATTCCAGGGAAAAGACACGTTTTGTTTTCAATACGGCGCGTGTTGTAGTATGCGGTGCAGTGCGTGTACTCAGTAATATCTGTACAATGTAAAATATTCCTTTATAGTGAATTAAAAAGAGTTAACCAACACAGAAGACACTAGACCTGAAGCTGCAGATCTCAGACCACAACACACAAGATATAGTTATATATACACACCTATAATGCAACTATAGTAATGTAATTTCAATCAGTACCCTTGACCAGTAGAAATGCTTTGCAAGATCAGATGCATTACTGTTTCTGAGGAAAGGTCCAGTATGCTCTCATCGCCATCAACAGAATGACACTGACCAGGTTGAGTGGACAGTTTGATCAGAGAAATAAACATTGCACTTTCTATACAGGGTTTGCACGCTAACATTAGCTGACTCCTGCTCAGTAACCTAATGTTAGTGCAGGGTGTTTATCATGCTGCTCGCCTCCTTTAATGTCTCCAGGCACCATTTTATACACTTTTTTTAACTCCCTTATATCACATTTTAAAAAGACTTGGAAGGATTAGCATGACTTTGAAATATGTTTGCCAAGAAGCACAGTCTTGTATCAGGCTTAAAAATAGAGAGGAGAGGCAAAGAAAAAGTGAGCACTTTCTGTAAATGAGAAGAAAAGCGGGAGTGGACCCCCTGAATTAGTGCTTTGATTTCGTTTGACGTTTGAGTGTCTTTAGAAGAAAAAAAAAAATCTCGTCTGAGCCTCAGAGGAATCCAGAGCACTGTGCTGTGTCATTATGCCTGGATAGATCAGAGCTTTGTGAGCATTTGGCTGCATCTCGAGCTGTTTCTAAAGATGGAGAGCTAGTGTGTTCGGCAGCGTTCCTTTTCTCTTCCTGTGCCCCACATAAAGCCACCACGCCGGGCTGGCTTCCAGCGAGAACTGAGCCAATCCGCATGACTCCAGAACCTGTTGGCCTGACCTGGATAACAGACTGGGACAGGCTACTTCAGCAGGGAGGGAGACTAAGTCAGGTACGCACATATGTACATAAACATCCCCAGCCCTGTCTGACAAGAGTGTGCAATGAGTCATTCACGATGGGGGAATAAAGTGAAACACAGCATTAACACTGCATTTAAAAAAACCACAACGCGTAACTCGGTACTCACCACGATTTTCCATTACAGAGTTTGAGGCACACCAATCAACATCTCCTGAAAAACACAAGTTTAATACATGAGCAGACATATTCTCAGCTCTACATTTGTTTCATTTTATACCTTTATATAATTCATTTTATTCTGTTATTTCAATTGATAGTTTTTAATGCAATTTTTCCCTTTTATGTATTAGCTATAACATTTTAGATTGCCTTCAGATATAAAGCATATGATATATAAATAAAACTCCTGTGCATTGACTTCTGTATATTTGTGCAACTGCAAAAAGTCGTACACATACACTACACAAAGTCATGGGAGGGGTGTGGGTGGTCGGGGTTCTTGGCAACAGTACAGCAGTATTTTTTCAGGTCTCTAGCATGTTGACGATGCCACCTCCAACCATCCTATCCACTCTGAAAGAGAGAAAAACAAGGTCGATCACATCACAGTCTGACATACAACACACAACTAGGAGATCCACACTTCCCAGGAATTTTCCGATAAGACTGCGAAGAGAAACCGATCACACCTGGGTGTGAAAACACAGGCACACCGACTAAAAGTCACAACTAGACAAATAATACTCCATATCTCAGAGCTTGAACCTGTCCGGCAATAAATGTCCGGAAAAGATGTATCTATGAGTTTGGATGAAGCAAAAAAAGTAATTTCTAATACCAGACTGAATCTATTGTGTATTTGAAGGTGCGTGCTGTAGGAGAAAGAAAGCAGAAGGAAATACTACAAAGGCCTTTAGAAGCCCCTGTGTAACAAAAACTGATACAATTTGGTCAGACTTTACAGAGCTTAAAGCAGACTATAGCTCCAGTCCACTAAATCACAAAAGGTCTGATGCCACAGTTTGTATCCATTGATGTATACATGGTGACGGTAATGAGTAAATGGCTTTCTGGCATTCATTCAAATCAGAGTCGTGTGTAAAATGACACTTCAGTTATGTAACCGCTCATGGACAAGCTCACAAATAGCAATTTTATGTACTCAAAGTGGTGCACCGTCCATTCTTTGCAATAGAAAAGCTGGAAAACAGAAGCAAAATCACAACACAAAAGCTTTGATAATTAAGGCAGCAAAGAAAACCAAGCAGAAATATTTACTTTTGCAGTACTGACTCATTAACAAGTATAACTGCTGTATAATTAGAAGTAAAAATACATTGTCAACGATATAGTGTTGATGCACATCTAGCTAAGCTTTGTAGCACATTGAGTCAACACTATGTTTTTGGGAATCGTCCTTCATTTGGTCCATTTTCTGTCATGTTGACTTCAAATACTAACACAAGACTGCAAAGACTTTACAACCACACTGGTTTGGACCAATCTACTGCTGTTTTAATCAAATGGATTAAATCAATCATACACATACTGGGTATATTATTTAAAGCAGCGGTCCCCAACCCCCGGGCCATGGACCGGTAAAGATCTGCAAGTCATTTGGTACCGGGCCGCGAGAGTTGAAGCTCGTGTGTGAAATTTATGGTTTTCAGAGTTTTTATCGTTAACTCGGTTTCCCTGGGTCTTTTCCCGTGTTGTAGTTGTGTGTCTTATTTTGAAATAAATATTAACGCGTTACCATAGCAACCAGAGAGGATTAAGGGGCAGAGAGGAGGATGTTGTTGGCACATTTCAGGAGGGCGCTGCTAATAAAGTTACACAATTACACAGTGAATTTGCGCTTATCATTATATTTACAAAATACCACAGTTTTTGTCTTGGTCGTATCATTTTATTTTGTTGTATTTATCCGCGACACATTAAAGGCCGGTCCGTGAAAATATTGTCTGACATTAAAGCGGTCCGTGGAGCAAAAAAGGTTGCGGACTGGTTGGCACTGGTTCCTGGAGGTTGCTGGCTCTCGCTGAATCAAATTACGATTGAAAAACTCTTCCTAGCGACTGCTTTGGTTTCAGGCAGACTTCCATGGTTGACTGCAGTTTTTCATGTTTGTCTGTAAACACTCGCTAACAACCATTTCCATGCAAACTCAGGGTGACTGCAGCAATATGCTAGCAACCAAAGCAAGCACAAGGAGGTTTTTGCCAACCAGAAAGGGAATACAGATTTTGTGTGACTGGGGATATAGTAACCACTTTCCTAGCATATGCCAACAACCTCCAAATTGGCTGACAAGTTAATTGTCACATGCTTAGTGGAAAGATAATATCAAAGGGCTAGGTATAGATTAAAGCCTGTTAGTGAGATGAGACAGAATGAACTAAGGAAGAACTCCACCCTCTCAAATCTACTGTGTTGGTGGGTTTCTTAGTCATATACTGCAGGAATCATATACTTTCTTTGCACATGACAACATCTGAATGGTGGGGAATTATTTCATACATTTCTGACATTTCTAGAAAGTTATAGATAAAACAATATTACGAGTCTGTTATGGCATCTTTAAATCTCCTTCAGGTGACATTTGTTGTGATTTTTCACAATAT